CGATTGTAAATAATGTATGTATATGTATAACTGATTTAAGATTTTGAATAGTTTCAAATTTAAAAATAATATAAATAGCACAAAATTTAATATGAATTATCTTTAAATGTAAATAGATAAATCAAATAAAACAAAAATATTGTTGCACATGACGTTTTATAATAATATATAGTATATACCTACATACGAGTTATCAGAAAACAACAAGGGATCAGTAAATATTTGATTAAAACAATTGCTTTTGCCAGCACAAAAAAATCACTAAAATTAAAGGAAAATATACTGCTTGAAAAATTAAAAACTTTAGAATTGTCTAATTTCTTAAATTTTCAAGTTGAATTGATCATGAAGAACATGCGTATAATATTACCTGGCAAAAAGACATTGTGCTTATATATTTGGGGGTAGCTTGTAAAGGTTTCAAACAAAGTAGAATAATTTTTCTGCTTTAGAAGAAGAGCTCAGAAAGAGGCTAGATAGACCCCCACAACGTATATTCGTATATACTTGATCAGTAGGACATAAGGACTAGTTTGTAAATAAATGTATTCATTAAATGTTATTTTAGAAGTGGGTATAGGGTACTTAAGAGTTGTGCCCGCCCGACTCATCCAACACATTCTTTTTTTTGCATTATAATTTAATTAGCCATTGAAAGAGTTCTTCTATACTGTATCCGAAGCGTAGCAAGGAAGGCAGAACTCCAGCTAGGATTATTCTCAATAACTTGATGGTAAAACAATATTTCTGCATTTCATTTAATCCACATACACTGTACCTACACACTTTCATTTTGGCATTCGCTTGAATAGCCAGTTTGTAAGCAGACAAATGTTCAAATGATGCCACTGTAGACAGGCACGCTGCTCTCTTGACTGGCAGACTCGTCGCGCCACTGTGCCACAGACGTTTTTCATAAACAACAAACGCATAATAATAAACAAACTCAAGTGTGTGCTTTATGCCAGTCAACGTCCTTCAGTATCAAAATCAGGCGTCAGCACTCATTCATACACACTCACGCACACGCACACATATACACACTCTCTATGATATGAGACGCATAACGAGGTTGACGACAAAGGCAACTTTTGTTGCCAAAACAGACAAAATTTTTCTTCAACATACTATACAACGTTCTCTCTTCGTGAAGTTTTTGTCTTCGTTTTACTCAGCAACTTGGTTGATTTCTTTTTTATAGCCTGCCATTCAACTTGCTGACATTGTAAACAAGTGCGTTTTGGGGCACAGCATTAAGAGTGACAACAACATCAACAACAACTACATATAACAATGACAAAGTGGAAGTATGTGGTTGGCACAGGGCTTCCTAAACTGTAGGTCAGGTGAGTCCTGCCTGCAACTTCGCGCCGAATTTGGCACGTAGGCGCCATTTGGGACACGAGAGTTCTTCATTTTGTTGGCGACGGCAGCGCTCGGCAAACAATGATGGAGCTTGATGAATCGAAAAGTGGGTTGCACGGAACAGATTCTGAGATTTTATCCCGGCTGATGACTTGCAATTTCACACAATCCTCATTTTGTTTGCTTTTGGCTGATAAATGGCATGTCGTTGAAAGTTAGCTGCCTGCCCGCCTGACCCCCAACCAATGCATAGCCAGCCAGATACTTAACCCACAGTTTGAGCAGCACTGGATGGCGCCATTATGCAGAAGAACGTCTTTAAAGAATGTTACAGTTTAAAGTTTAAAGAGCGTTCAAAATATTTAATCGTATTTTTTTGTATCAGCTTCCAAAATGTAAATCAAAATTTGTCGTTAACAGCAATTCATTGCTTTTAAGAAAGAGTTTCTAAGGTGCGCTTGAAAACATAGGGTTTCGAAAGCTATTAGCTGTCCAATATTCTACTACCACTATATTCTCTTGTATGTTTTTAGTTAATAATTTAATTTAAAATGAAAGAAAAAATCAACTGCTTCAAAACAATATACTGTAAATGGAGAAAAAAAACAAAGATATTTTCCATATTGTTTTTAAACAAATTTTCTACTTTTGCATTAGCTGGAACGAATTTTCGGATCACTTTTCCCACACAGAAGATCGTTCTTCCACAAGTAGTTCAATGTTTCTGGGTTTCGATTGTCGGAAAAGCTTGCAAATTTTGTTTGATTTTAGGGAATAGAGAGAAGTAGGTGGGCAGTACGGTTAGTAGTAACACCCATTAACTTATTGTTTTGGGTGCTCAAAATGTCTTCTGTGTGAGAATTTGAATTGTCGTGGTGAAGAATGAATGGGTTCTCATCAAGTCTTCGAGAACTAATAGGAAATAGACAGCTGTGTACTCTACTATTCAGAATATTATTTGTTGTTTCAACCGAATGTATATGTAAAAGCCATGTGTATCTTTAAAATATAAAACTTCACAATGCAAGTGTCAGATTTGATCGCACCATCCAAACAATAGTTTATTCTTAGTATATAAAAGATGATAACAATTAGCTTAGCCATTTACTCGGCCTTTAATTTTTTTTAATTCCTGTGGAATTGACATTTCATATATGAGACCACTCTTACAGAAGTTTTAGAACTGCAAGTCATTTTTTAACTCACATTGTGCGATTCCTGTTAGCTCGTTGAGCTATGCCAGTCGTCTCGGTCTTTAATAAAAATGAAATCAATTAAAGCTGAGGATTTTTCGTATCTTTCCAATTAAGTAAAAGGCGTGCATTGCAAACAGAAACAGGAATGAAATCAATATCTAGGTATCGCACTGTGTACTATATACACATTTTACATATTCTTGCATGGAAATTTGAAATTCACAAGCCTTTCAAAAAAGACTTTTCATAAGAAATCTGATCAACGCATTATTCTGAGTATATGAAAGCATTGGATGTTGGTGGTCGGGAAGACGTTGGCTTGTTTGATAGCTGAAGGCGCTGTTCGTTATATATGAGTATTGCAATCAAGAAACCCCTTTCGCATCTGTCTTGGCATTCGTCTGCCTCAATCAAATTGCAATTTCGATGAAATATTACGCATACGACGGGTGTGCCATCGCTGTCTTGGCAACTACCCATGAGCCTGTTGCACGTCGCCGTGCCGTCTTTTTTTTGGGTTTCCATATATGTATGTATAGAGACGACTCATAAGTCTCTGGCGAATCCTAGCCACATTGCCTTTACTCGTATAGTATGTGTATGTATGTTTGTTCAACTGATTGGCAACAAAATGCCAAACAATTGCTCATAAAAATCAATCATGCTCAGCTTGCAGCCTCTGGCGAGTCTTGTAGTTATTGTAGTTGTTGGCAATATCAATGATGTTTACGCTTTACAGGCCCTGCACGTAATGTGCTTTGAAATATGCAAAAAGCCATGGCCAAGAGCCACAAGCACGAGAAACTCGGCACATATTTCTTTACCATCTAAGCACTTTGTCATAGTCAGGCGGCAATTCGGGCACTTTTTTTGCCCTCCAGGCGTGCCACAAAAAACATATACCTATATATAAACATATATATATATATATATATATATATATATATATATATATATATATATATATATATATATATATATATATATATATATAAATATAAATATATATATAAAGAAGTATATATTCAAAAAGGAAGAAGAACAAGAGAAAATAAAAATAATCGGATATCCGTCACAGAAATATAATGAACGTTTAGCAAGTTGTGCTTGCCAGCAGGAGCAGGAGCAGCAACAGGAGCAGGAGCAGGAAAAACAGCCATGTTGGCAAACAAGAAAAATGAGTTTGAAGCTTGCTTTACCGCTTTACCGGCAGCAGCCAACAGGGGGCAGGCAGCAAGCAGTAAGGAGCAAGCAGGATGCGTGCGTTCGAAATCTACAAAAAATTATAAAAACAAAATCCTTTGCCGCTGGTGCACACTGATCCAAATACTTATTTTCAATATTGTCCAAGTGAAATGTTTAGTACAAAAAGAAACATTAATGAGCCTGTTTTAAGCTACGATTATGAATGGTTCTCAAGTTATACGTTCTCTATTGAATTAAAATAAGAGTGCATGATTGGAACCGATTCGAAAATTTGTTCTTTTCTTTGTACAACCAATGGTACAACTAGAGTGGAGGAGTCCTTCCAATTCAGCTTTTAAAAAAACTACGTCAAGCCGCACATTTTTCGACTTCCTAGCAGAATTCGGTTAGACTTGGCGGTTACCATTCGGTTATTTGAGCCCAGTGTAACTTTTTCACAATACAAAAAAATAAATAAATAAAAAAACATGGCAAGTTGCCTTGCTTTCAGGTTTCTTTGTTGTTGCATTTTTTATTTATTTGGTTGCTTTAGTTTTGTTTTACGCCTTGCGGTCGCACAAGTGTCTCAAACTTTGTGCCACACGCGCAACGTCCCCTAAGTCGGCCCCTGGCTGGCATCAATGCCCCGGAAAGGGGGGGTGTGGTGGGGCAAATTTTGGCCGCGGCCAAGTGGAAAAGTTGTAGGGCGCGAGGCAAACAGCAGACGACGCAATTGGGACTCAAAGATTGGAAGCCAACGAAAATAAAGAAGCAGCATACAAACAAGGCAAAATACTACTCGCGATGCATGTGTGTGTGTGTGAATGTGTGTGTGTGTGAGTGTGTGTGTGTGTGAGGGTGTGAGGGTGTATGTGTGTCACATTTGGTGCGTCTTTGACCGAAATACTTTGAAACAAATCACAAATATACAAGTATAAGTGGGGTGTTCATTGCCGATTCTCGTTTGCTTAACGATTTTTGGAGACATTTTTGGCTAAGCAATCAAAGTTCACGGCTAAAAGTGAAAAATACTCGCAAATCCTTCTTGAGGCAACACTAAGCACGTAGAAAGCTGGCAGCGAAAAAACAGTAGCCATACAGCCGTGTTGTCTTAATCGGATTAATAGCGTGGTTATGAAGTTGAATATATGTGGCTTACATTTCTCCAAAGCTTTGCCATAAAACATGCAACTAAAATGTTTCAATTTTACTTTTAAGGTGCTTAAAAACGTTTCATTTTTCTTTTCTTTATAGAAATTATAGAACCCAAAGATAAAAATACCCTACGCGTGAGAGCTCTGCGAGCAGTCTGCTGAGCAACGGCTTCCTAAGATTTACGGGTGAGTAGACAGCTATACTATACTGAATACTATATATAATAAATGTAAATTGTTGTTGTTTAAAAATCGTAACTCTTGCTTTATTTTTTGGAAAACAGCGCTTTTTATTTTAATACGATTTCTGAAGGGTTCCTCTCATAACTGAAGCCACTTAAGGCAACCACTGCTGATTTAGTTAAATTAAATACTTTTATTAACCAGTTCTAATGATTACAATACATAACATACATATATGATATATTATTTCAAAAAGTAATCTTTTTTAAAACCTGATCGATGCTGTGACAGCTTTAGCCAATAGTGTCCCGATCCGACTTAACTTTCATCGAAAGAAAGAGACAGACAGTTACATGACTATATCGATAGGAAAACAGTCGTTCGGATGACGTTAATGCCACATTTACATTACATTTCCGCATTATTCTCGATTTAATAATGAATTTAAGCAAGTACCATTGCATCGACGATATATTGATATAAATATATACATCATAGATGGCCTTAATTCCTTCCTTGATCAGTAGAGATAGAGAACGAAATCCTTCGATTGTTAATCAAAAAATAAGTATTCGACGCATGAATTAATTTGGATATCCGAGCATGAGAAGAAAAAAACCAGAATATATACTATTTGGAAAAAGAGGAAAAACAAACCCATAACATGCACTATGCAAGCGCCCCTTTAATTTGTACAACATATCTTCACAGCGGCGCAGCAAAGCAAGAAATATGCAGTCCTTGTTGTCGCAGGAGTTGTTCTAAAGTTTTGTACTATACGTGTTACTTGAGCGTGTTCCATCATCACTCCTCACTCATCACTATTGCATTCTCCTTTTGTAAACACTTTCGGAAATGTGTGAAATAGTTTGTGTTAACAATCCTTGGACGTGCTTCCTCACATTGAACGACCATTAAAAAAGTTTTACTTCCACAGAATGCGAGGAAGCGGGAAAAACTTGACTGTGGTATGTGTTTTTAGTTTTATGGCCCGTTTGTGCGGGTATTTTTGTGGGTCAGGCCACAAATCACAAATCAGTGGCCTAATTGTTGTGTATGTGTGTGTGTCTGTAATTAGGCGAGGCGGCTCCCCTATAAATATGCACTGGCTGCTGGCTGCTTAAATGCCGCATATTTGTGCATGCATACATACATATATCACTCACATAATGCAACGCCTAAAAGTGCGCTTTAAATCACATCCGATTGCCTTTTAAATGCATCGTAAAACAAACAGAGAAACAGACAGGCGAAAACTCATTAGTGCGGCAAACTTCTGTAAGCTGGGCAGCCACATCCACATTCACAGCCACGACCACATAAACAACTCACCAACACACTCACAAATACAAAAGCCAATGACTGCCCACTTGTGTCGCAAAATGATTTAAAATTGCATTCAACGTTTGATGAGCATGCACTTTATTTTCATTTCGTTCGCAATTTGCGTCACATTTGAAATGCTACGCCGGCCAACTCGACCTCAAGCGGCAGCGGTGGCAGTCGATGCGGCAACAATGCCGATTGTTATTGCCACCACAGTCCCGATACATAATCCTCACACAGATGGTCGTTCGAGCTAAACGATCTCATGTCTGGCAAGAAGAAAACAAACAAAACCAGCCGGGCAAGTTGCATGACTAGTGGACTTGCCAGATAATCCTCAATATATAATCAGGCCTATTCTGTATTGCAGCTCTTCATTTCATTTTATTTGTAGAGCTGTTCGAGATGAAGAACAGAATGTGGTCGAGGAGGGGAAGCAAAAGTTTACAATAAAAAATATGTAACTTCATGTCAATCGAAAATAACAGAATATTTTAAATAATTTTTCAGTGTACTCATAAATAAATATAGCTTTTTGTGCTTCTATTATGAATACAAGAAAATTTGCATACATTTTGTTTTGGTTTCTGATTAAAAAATAAAAAAAAACTTACGAATGAACATAGCTTTAAATGTGCCTTGAATGTCGTTATAAGCGATCTCAATAGTTCTGAATAATATTAATTATTTGTAGGCTTCGAAAAATATTTAAAATTAGAATTTCAGTGCCTTGCTTGTCTGGCTGGCCTGTTCGTTATAAATTTGGCAATTGTTTTCAATGCTAATACTGGATATTTATTTATTTTATATCGAAATACGTTTCTAAATTGAAAGATAAAGTATAAAATTTATCCTGTTCCTAGCCTTGTTCTATATACGATTAGTAATAATAATGTTTGCTATGCTGTGTAAAGCTTTAAAATGTGTAATCAATCGATTATTTGGTTTTGGTGGCACATTATTATGCCCTAATTGTGTTGAAAAGCTATGGAAGGCCCTTCTGTCTGATTGAGAGCGGCAGAATGGGACTTTCTTTTACTGTAATGCTATAAATGTCGCACGAACACATTTGAGGCCTGTTATCGCAGAGATAATATTCTGTTTGCTTTCGTACACAAAAAATTCAGTCCCCCCCTCTGCTTAGCAGGTATTCCCGCCAGCATCTGTGTCTGTGGCTCAGCAACGTCTTGGCTAACCAACAAGTGAATCCTCCCGAAAATAAGAAAGTGCTTAGGAGGATTTAGGCAGAATTGCATATTTAAGCCAGAGACGGGTTGGTGGGGAGTGTGGATCGGCTTCACTTACTTGGCTTTGGAGGCAGGACAGCATCAGGAGCAATAACAGGACCACAGTCAATGCCTGGTAGTTGCTCATTCGTTTGCCTCTTGTTTGTTTGTTTGTTTTTGGCGTTGAATGTGTTTTTGAACGTCATTTGGCGCTACAACGCTATTTATAATGGAAGTATTGTGTGGGTGTGTGGATGTGTGTGGATGTTGGTGTGAAGGCAACAACTGTTCGTTTCATTATATTTTTTGCTGTTTTCTTTTTGTGTTTTTTTAATCATTGTTGTAGCGCTTATTGTCTTCGGGCTACAATTTTGTGGCCAGCTGTTGACCCTGACATGCGAGTGTGTGGCCATACATACATACACACTTACATATGTACATACTCATATACATACATACATACATACATACACATATATGTATAATACACACACAAGAGTATCCAAACAGACATATACTCTGATTTGCCAAGCTTGAACCTCACTGCCCTTTTAATTCATCTTCAAGCATGCATTTGTTATATACTTGAACGTATTATATAAAGAACCTTCTATATCGATATATATTTATGTGTGTATCACATTTCTGCACATGTGAGTTTGTGTGTTGACCAAAAACTAATTAATGAACAAAGCAAATGGAAGCACTCAGTCGTGTTTTCTTCACTCGCTTGCCACATTAAATAGCTGCCATGTGGCATTTATTGCATTCCCATTTCATATTTCTCGCTGCTAACCAATTAAAACATCAATAATTGACATTAAAAAGAGAACGGCAAATTATTGATAACGGAATTACAATGCAATTATTGCACAATTACAAAAAGAATGCACAGCGACTGACAGTAGAGAGTTGAATTTTTCTGCTTTTATTTTTGTATAGAAAATTCATTCCGGCTTCGTCGATGATTCAAATAACCAACCAACAATAATTTTTATATGAGAGTTGCATATTAAGGAATTATGTTATTACTCAAGATTGTTGCTGTGAACTTTGAAGTGCTGTGAGAAGATTTTGGCAAATATATTCTCAATAAACTGAATCTCGATAACACTGTTTCATTGCTTGGTCAAGCCTTCCAGAACTTCTGTATAATGTCTAAATTTTCTGCATAAGATGCCGCTTGTCACCTTGATTTTTGGCCATTTCCTCTCCTATTTTATATTCGAGTTCCATTACAATCAAGCAATTCATATACTTAAACATGTTATCTGCTTTGTGAAAACGAAACAAGTCCCCTAGAAGGAGTAAAGAAAAAATAAGTTTTTTAGAAAAGAATTGTCTCCAAATAACTCCAATAATTTTGGATTACATAAAGATTGTTAAGTACCTTTTATCCTTAAATTCAAAGCAGAAGCAGCTTTCTCCATAGGAAATAGATGGTCTGGTGGGAGAAGGTCAGCATTTATGTTCACCTCATGCGAACTCGTATCGATATCGAATATACTATATACTTATTTAAGATACTTTTCAGAAAATTCTAAAAACAATTGCCAATTATTAGTTATTAAAGTTTTTAAGTCCTTTGTATACTTTTTTTATACAAAATTGTATTTTTGAGCTTTACCGCCAGAAACCTAATCTGCTTTATTGTATCGTGACAAATGTTATGACCAAATTGTTTTGCACAATATACTATATATTAAAGATACTTTTCAGAAAAATGTGAAAACAATTGCCAATTATTAGTTATTAAAGTTTTTAAGCCCTTTATATACTTTTTTATATAAATAATTGTATTTTTGAGCTTTAATCGCCAGAAACCTAATCTGCTTTATTGTATCGTGACAAATGTTATGACCAAATTATTTTGCACAATTCGAAACGGAATATTTTCCAATATTCATTATCGGTTTCATCTCTTCATACTCGAATATGCATTGTCGCCCGCCACACACCAATTGCATGTGTTCAATTAAATTCATGAATTGCATTTGCATTCGAAGGCTGGTGTCATTTGCATTCCAAATGCTTGGTATATTTTTACAAAATGTTTGGTAGTGTCAGAGTGCATATTTGTTGATACATATATGTACATATGTATAGTATACATGCATACATACTTGTGTGTATATAGTAGTGTGTATGTTTGCGAGTAAATACATATGCGATCGATGAGGTGAACGAGGTGGCAGACCACAATTCCTACACTGCAGGCTGTAGGACGAGCCTGGCAACATCTTTGTGGCTCTGACGGGCGGTTGATGGTCGAAATTACATTTCCCCGATACAATGTGCAGTATCTGTATGTATCTGCACACCGCACTGCCACATTTAAATTTATGTTTGAATTTAAATATAAACACAAACTGATTCCAACTGCAAATAGAACGAACGTATTGAAGTATGCAATGGAAAGTGGGTCAGATTAAAACAAAACTGAATGGAAAC